TAAATCTGCTCCCACTTACTCTAGTACAAATCAGAAACAATTCCCCTGAAATCAATGAAGTTACCCGAGTAAAATTGGCCCCTACCATTACAAGCAGCCAGGTAAATCCAGCTTTTGGTTCAAGGGTACTGACTGGGCAAGCAAACGAAAGCTACTAGGGTCTTTTGTACCAACAGAGATTGCTAATTCCTGGCCAAATCCCAGCGTATGCAGGGAGATTCTCCCTGTGTTCATGAGCAGGTTAGGTGTCTTCTCCTCGTGTTCTGATCTGTCGTGAAACATCTGCAGGTTTTGCTAAATCTTCTACCTACTGATCCTAAAGCAAAAAAAAAAAACCAAAACACCAGTATTTTTTTCAGAAATACTGACAATGAGCTGGGCCCAACCAGGATTTCAAGAAAACCAGACTCAGGTGTGTCTTTAGTTATATTGGTGCTAGCCTGAATTACATCTGCAGACTTCAGGGGAGCTACTGAAGGCTGACACCGGTATTAACAGAGAGAGACTCTCCTCTTAGACAAAAATTTGTATTTCTGATCCCTTTTGCAAAATGTTCTTCAACCCTTTCACAGCAGAAACCACTCCAAACCAAAATTATTCTTAAGAAGGATTCATTCACAGAGGGGTTTCCCTCTTCTCCCATGGCAGGGGGAACACAGCAATTAATTTCAGCTGCTGACTTCATCTCACAAGTAACAAAGCAAAGCAGGTGAGAGCTGGCAGTTTCGGAGTAGGTGTCTATTACGTGTGGAAATACGTGGTGTGTGCAGAGTTAATGCACCAAGTGCTCTCTTGCACCACGTCGTGACAGTCACCCCGTTCACACCGTCCTTATTAACGCCAGTGGGAGGTCCAGGCACAGGGACGGGGGTTTTGCCTGTGTGACGAAGATTTTCCGGTTGCAGAGATTGATTCTACCACACGATAGAATACAGTGATTTAGCATTTACAGGACCGAATTCAAAGCCTATCAGGCACAAGAGAGACACAGTCACCTCAGGGGTTATGGACCTGACCCAGATGGTTTTGTCGATACAGCACCTAACTTAGCATAAGGCAACGAAACTGGATGCTGAGTTTTATGAGGATGGGAATGACAAATGGGAAAATAAAAACCAAAGTTTTTAAAATCAGCCATTAAGTTTGGGCATCTCACTTTTCATTTTGCCTGATTTCAAAAATGCAGGAGGTGGAAGCTGCAAAAAGCGGCGTTCCTGCAGCCTCCTGCAAAAAGCCGGCACGAGCGGTCGCCTTGTCACATCTCTGAAAAATGAAGCCCAAACTGTCTCAGGTTGGTCCCTCAAAATTAAAGACCGTTTAAATCTTATTTCATTTTAGCCTTCGAAATCGGTGTGACAGGTTGCCGTCAGCACCAGGACTCGGGGATACCTTGCTCCCTGCGGCATCTCTGCCCACTGCCAGCTGCCGCCCCTCAGACCGCACCGGCTCCTGCCCCTCTCCCTGCTTCTCTTTCCGCCCCGTGACCGTCAGGGCCACAGCTGCAGATGGGGAGCAGGGAAGGCTCTGTGAAGGAAGCAAGCTGTGAAAGCTTTTTACCGAGAAAAGGGGTGTTCTTTGCTGGCCTCGGAGAAATCAGGGTCCGGGGCCAGCTTGTGGGTTTGCAGCGGGATGCGAAGCGCAGCCCGCTCCTGCTCCTCGCTCCCGGCCAGCCCAAGCTCATGGCATCCAGGCTGCCAGCAGCTCCCTGCTCCCCAGCGCTGCGGGTCCGAACCCCACGCTGAGACACCCTTCTTCCTCCTGGGAGAGCACAGGAGCCCCAGTGTCCGACGCAGGGCTTGGCTTCAACCCCAGAAACCAACCACTTTCAATTAAGAACGAAACCTAACCAGACCCAGCCTCCAGGGCCTTGCATTTCAATGGGCAAGATTTCTTAATATGTCCCATTTTTAAAAGTGTAGCCCAGTCTTATTAATGAAGACTGTGTCATGTTAGGTCAAATGTGCCTTCAGACTGAAGGGACATGTATTTTGCCACTGATTTCGGGGGGAATTTATTGAACTCACCAATAACAGGGTTGACCTGAGGAGCAAAAAGCAGGGGAGAAAGCTGCTAAGAGACGGAGGAGGAATAGCCAGCGGTGGCTTTGACAATAAACGTGCAGTCGAGGTGGTCAGAAAGCTATGCCATACTAAAAATATCTGGTTGGGGGGACAAAGCTCTGGGCAGCAGGTTGTTGATACAGCCACGGCAAATTGCTCTGAGAGGTCTAGACCTAGAGGTCCTAGAGGTCCTAGAAAAAAGCCGCTTAACCCCCGTGCCTGGCGTTGGGGAGGGGTGGGCAGAGCTGTGCTTGAGTGCGAATTGTAACTAGAACCCATCATTAGTTGCGTGAACTTGCTTCTGCAACAATTTCCAGGTCTCAGGGTCAGATCTAAGGCTTGCTAATTCAACAGCGGTCCTTCTGTCAGCTTCAGCTGGCATTTGCTCAGGTCTCCAGGAGGAAGAATTTATCTGTGAAGATCTATTAAATCAGTATCTGGATATCTGAGCAGCTGATGAGAATTTCTAAAAATATTTGTCAACATTTTTGGGTTTTTGTCAGTAAAAGGGATGTATTTTACTCAAAAAATATCTCCGTGCCAGCTGATTTTAAAAAACAAACAAACAAACAAACAGTTCATCAAACTTAGTACTGACCTCTTTTTCCTGGAAGTGCTTTCCACATTATTTTTTTACTTCTTGTAACCGATCAGGGAGTGACCTAGACATGAAGTTACATTCTTACACAGCAGGTGAACCAGGAACTTGCTGTAAATGACCTGCAGGTATGCGGAACAGCGTGGTTCCTGCGCCCAGAGACCCTGCACTGGTGCAGACAGCAAGAAGCAGATGCTTATACGTATAGACGGCAATAAAACTAGAGTGTAACATTTTTAGGATCGCAGCTGAGCTCTCAGACAAGGCTTTCTGCAATGACTAATACGACTACGGTCTAATGCGACAGTTCACCGTCTGCAGCCGCATTCAGTCCCGAAAGTAAGCAAGTTTCTCCAGATGTTACATGCTGGGGGGGAGAAAAAAAAAAAAAAAAAGCACATCCAGTTTTCAATCTTTTTTATTTATTTAAACTGTACACAAATGTAAAATACTTCAACAGCAAATCTAAGTGAAAATTGTTTGGTTTAAATTATTATGGAACAGAACCTAAAAGGAACTTTATTAAATAAACATAAAAATTGGATTTAAAGAATGCACATATTGTAATGTATTCTACAATAGTAATTTTTTTTCGCTCTACGTTCCATGTGCGTATGGTATAGAAAAGACACTGAATAGAACAAACAGAATCCATTTTGTACCCTGAAACAATTGGTAGGCCTCGTGAGGGATTGCTCAGTATGACTACATGATATATGATGGCTTTGCCATCTCATAAAAATTATAACTAATATGTTGGCCTCTTTGGTTCCAAAATTTTTGTATAATACATTTAACTGTATTCATTTTTTGCTGCTATAAAAATAACATTTTTTTCAAATGGCAGTTTTTTGACTAATCATGCAACTAAATCAGTGCAAACATTAAAAGCAATCATTCGCTTTAAAAAAGAAGCAAAAGATTTAATTTCAAGTATAAAAAAATATAAAAAAGTCATATCATAAGTCCAGTTTCGTCTAGTATGGGTCAACACTTTAAATTGCATAGCTCATGCGGCACCTGTTTACCTAGATAGTGAGCAAAGATAAGTGCACTATCAAGTACCACTTTTCAAGGCATTGAAATTTGCAAGTGCTATTATACGTGCATTCAAGCAGTTTGCAAGTGCTATGCTGTATCGTTATTTTCTGATCTTTATGGCCATCCTCGACACCTCCCGGTAAGGAAATTGAAAGCACTCTCCTCCTATCCAAGACTCGTTAAAGTGTTCCTCGCCTGTTATTAAACGCACCGCATTTTTCAGAACGTCTCCGCTCTCCGTCACTCCTCTTCAGGGTTCATTGGTTTAGCCGTGGTAGTGGTTGCCTGTTCGCTCGTCCCCCCCACGTGAAGTGTCCTTGCCGAGCCCCCCGTTGAAGAACACAGATTGAAACCTTAACTGTTCATTCTCTGAACAGTGAGAGATGCCAAGGGTCAACACAGTCCAGGTGCGGTATCAGAGCCCCTTTTCCAAGACGCAGCGGGTACGGCCATCCACGGGTTGCTGGCGGGCAGTTAGAGCAGCGGATCGCGCCAGCCCGGCTTGTGACTTCGCAAGGGTCGGATGTCAGAAATACAGCAGTTGAGCCTCTGTCTCCTTTTCTCTCTCTCTGATGGTACCACGCGCTTCCCTACTGGAAGCGCTGTAGGAAGATGCCGGTACCTGTGACGTACATTTAGATAAATTTAAATTAAGAGGAAGTGATCACCTCCCAAGGCAGGTGTCCTGCAGCTTCCCATTAGACCTAAGAGGTGACGGTCAACTTTTTTTCTTTTTTTCTTTTTTTTTTTTTTTTTTTTTTTGTAAATGTTCTAAGTTTGGTCATTTCGACACCTGCGTGCAAGAATACGTCGTGTTCTCGCAGTCTGTGCTTTTGCCTGAGCAAAGGGAGCTCATTTCGGTCTGACTTCGCCGGCAGGCGGGGAAGCAGCTGCTCAGCCGTTCACTCGTACTGGCAGGCATTTAGGTCCGTCGTCACTGGTCACTGACTTTCTGTGCTCATGTCCCCTTTCCGAGCTGCCTCGTGTGTGTGTGTGTGTGTGTGTGCAAGATATCTCATAGCATTAACTTATAAGTGGTAGAATATATAAGTGTCCAAGATCCACAAACTGCCACTGTCCTGACACCAAAGTGAAATGATTTTTTTTCTTTCTTCTTTTTTTTTTTTTTTTGTCAAACTTTTCCACAGTGACTTTCCAACACTGATGCCTGGATACACAGTGAAACTTCCTCCAACACCATCTCGTACAGGAATGTTTCTTTCTTTCTCTCTCTCTCCCTCCCCCCCCCCCAAAACCC